CGCCGCGGCCGCGCGCCCTCCCTTCCCCGCTCCAGCCACGAGGGCGCGCTAAAGTCCGTAGCGAGGAGGGGGAGCGGGGTCGCGGACTTCCCTCGGGTCTCCACTCAGGGGATCCGCTTGCTTGGTCCTCTGGGGCGGGGTTCAGGATGCTGGAGGCGCGGCTGGGCTGCCTTCAAATCAATAGCAAGCCGCACTGTCGAGCAGCGTGCAGAGCACGGGACTCGTTTGTAAAACCATACGCATAGACCGGGCTGAACAGATGTTTGTAACCTGGCACGGCACAGAACCGGAGATGCCTGAAATGTCTAGTTATTAATTAATCAATCAATCAATTATTAATTAATTATTAATTAATCAATTAATTAAATGTCTATGCCGCCCACCTCCATTCCTTGTAATAACCCTGCCCCTGTCAACGCCTTAATAAAGGGAGGGAGTCGCGCTTAAGGGAGTCTGGATTCAGAGAAAGTACCTTTTCTGGCTCGGACTGAAAAAGCTGGCACGTGTGGACGGAACCAAGAGCAAAACCAGCCATCTTAGCTCACAAACAAGGATCTGCTCAACTGAGAACCCATAGAAAAACTAGGTTGGGTTGGTGTCCCTGGGCAGGAAGAGTGGAAACGCCAAGAATGTGCGCCAAGGGTATATACCTACTCTTAGCCCACTCGACCAAGGTGGGAAGGCCATCCCAGCTGCCCAGCTAAAGCCAACAGGCACCTCTCTTGGGCAGCAGCGATAGAGGAAGGTGCCAGAGGCGGAGGATCACCTGAGGACAGTGGCAAAGGCATCCGTTCATACTGTGCAAAAGAAGGCGCGCCTGTATTTTTCCAGGAAAACCACAAATTTGAAGGTGTGCAAATCTTGGTGGGAAAGCAGTGGGTAGTAGGTGGCCTTTTGTAAGGAATGTTTATTGAAATAAGCAAAAATGGCTGGGTGTATGAACATCCCTTTGTACGAACAAAATGCCACATATGAAGCAGTATAGGATGCTTTGGAAGGACAGAAAGGCAGTGAATGCTGTTGCTGTAAACTAGTTCTTGCTATATTTCCTTTTCTTTTTCTTATATCTTTAATTTCTTTGGGTTACAGACAGTCCCCGTGTTAAGAACAAAATCTGTTCCTAAGTCTATCTTTAACTCCAATTTGTATGTAAGTCGGAACTCGTACTTATAAATGGGCTGCCTATTACTAAAAATGGCAGACAGCATTCTTCCTCAAGCCGACAAGCTGCTGAAGCCGCAGAATGTTTTCATGAACCGCTGGAAACAGGCTGTATATTAAAAATGTGTGGCCTCAGCGGTTCATTGGCTTGAGGAAGGAGAATGCCGTCTGCCATTTTTCGGAATAGGCAGCCTGTTTGTAAGTACAAACTGTCCATAAGTCAGGTTCCTAACCTGGGGACTGCCTGAACTATTTCTTACTCCTTTTTTAATGCTCTGTATACAAATGCTTAACCCAAAAGGGAACGCTGTGATGAGTGTGTTTCTACAGGATCCTCCACACAGCTTCCTGCTCAGGCTGCGGTTTTGGCAGCAAAGGAGAGCAGGCCCTCCACAGCCATTTTTTTTCTTCTTTCCAATGGCTATGTCCATCTGAAGAGTGACTGCTTGGGCAAACATCAGGCTTGCTAAAATGGCAGGCTTGTATCAGTGCCCCAGGACTACGTGTTCGGGGGCAGTATGACCCCAACGCAGGATGCTTCTGGGGGAGGGTGCGTGGCAACTACCACCCACCAATGCAGGATGCTTTGTGTGGAGTCCTGGCCCTGTCTTTGGAAACAGCCTTCCTTTGCTTCTCTTCTGTGTTCTTGTAGCTGTGAGCATGTATCTCAATAAATTACGATATTTCTTGTTGATACATTCTGGGATTATACCTAATAAAAAAAATGTGTCTTCATTTCAAATTTAATTTCCAAAATTCTCTGAATGATGTTATGTATATTATCTTGCCAATACTTTTGAGTTTTTTTACATGTCCACCATGGTAAAATGTTCCTTCTGTTTCATAGCATTTCCAACATTTGCAAATAAATATGATCTTGGAAATGACTGATGAAGTTGTGTACCATCTATAAAACATTTTATACCAGTTTTCTTTTAGATTATAAATTAGAGTTGGTCCATAATTCTTCCCATTGTTGTGCTGTAAATGTTTAAAATGTTGCATCCATTTTATCATGCACTTTTTATTTCTTCTGTCTGCAGGTCATAGTAGTTTATATATGCGCCCTAACAGATGGTATTGGTTTTGTATGAGCATTTCAAATTCTTTCATTTTTCTTAGCATCCCTCCCTCACTCTTAAGATCAGATTTTATCCTTCTGGCAATTTGTAAGTACATCAACCATAATATATTCTGGCCTTCACTGAGTAATTCTTGCTGTGTCTTTATCAGTGAAATTGTTGGGCTTATTATTTTCCTGATGGAATTCAATGCTTTTATCAGACTTTGTCTGATGATACAGATTGTCCTCAACCTATGACAATTCATTCAGTGACCGTTTGAAGTTATGATGGCACTGAACAAATTGTGGTTACAATTGGTCCTTGAAGTTCCAGCTGTCCCAGCACTCCCGTGGTCACATGATTGCGATCTAGGCGCTTGGCAATGGGTTCACACTTACAATCAGTTGCCAAGTGCCCCATGATCACATGATCACCATTTACAACCTTCCCTGCTGGCTTCCCCAGAAAGTTAATGGGGAAGTCAATGGGGAAGCTGGCAGTGAAGGTCACAAGTTGCTAGGATAAGTTTCCCCCACCCTTGCACCCTCTCCCAGCCCCTCTGCACTCGCGCCATGCTGGCCTCTCATACACCCTCCCCAAACCGCAGCCCTGTGCACCTTCCTGACCTGTGCTGCACCCCCGCACATCCTCCCCGACCTGCACCCTCGCACACCTTCTGGCCCTCGCCATACCCCCGCACACATTCCCTGACCCCACACACTGTCCTTGACCCTCCCTCACACACTCACTGCACCTCTCCCACACCCCCTCGCTCCCTACCCCACCCAGCAGCAGCCTCTTACTCTGGGACTTGCAACTTCTTACCAGCTTCCCCACTGACTTTGGTTGTGGGAAGCCAGCAGGAAGTTGCCTCGCCTAACGACCATGGGATTCAGTTTAACGACTGCAACCGGGACAGCAGGGATTGCCTTCGCTAAGTGAAGTGGTTGCGCTTTACAATCACACTGCTTTGCGACAGAAATTCCCGTCCCAATTGCTGTCATAGAGGATTACCTGTATGTCTTATTAAATGTTTGTCCTCTTTTGTATCTCTGCACCATCCTGGGCAGATACACAGAATATCTGTGGATTCCGTTGCAGGTTCTTTTTTTGAAACAGCAAATCAGACTCCGTAGGATTCCAGGCCGTTTGGATTCCAGTCCAATGCAAAGGACTGGCAATATGGACAGTTGTTCGGGTTTTTGTGTCTCCCTTCAGTGGCCGGGGGGAAACTTTTATTTTACAAAAGGAAAACTTATGAATAAAAGAAACGAAGTTGAAGACTAATGTAGAAATGAACCTTAATAATAAAACTATTTTCTATTTTAACTCTTTATCTACACTATATGCTTTAAAGCCCAATTTCAGTATATTTTCATATCTTTCTATTCTATATCTGCAACATATTGTTTTATGGCTGACTTCTACATTTCTGCTTCTTAATTCCTGTATATTTATTAATTTATTTATTAACGTATTACTCCTTTTTCTACCCAATTTGATTGGTCTTTTATCTTTTTTAGTTTCTCTCTTCTATTTCTGCCCTGTCAAAGTCTTTAATTT